ATGGTACTGGCAAAACCCACACCCAATAGATTAAAAGATGCAGAAACAACTCCAAACACACTCAGCACCCTTATCTTTGATAGCTGCTCCTCAAAGGACTAATATCTTGACTATATAAAGAATCCCCTCCCCCAAAAAATCATACCCACCACATTTAAAGACCAATCCAAAATGGACAAATAAATGAACAGACTTTTCTCAGATGATACTCCATTGTGTAAAAATACCATATCTTTTTTATCCATTCCTCAGCAAAGGAAAAGTAGAAATGGTAAATAAATATTTGAAAAAATGTTCAGCAGCACTGGTCAAGAGATGCAAATTAAAATAATGCTGAGATTCCGTCTCATTCCAGAAAGAACAGTTATCAAGAAATCAACCAATAACAACTACCTGCAGGGCTGTGGAGAAAAAACAACCTGTCCCCACTGTTGGTGGGAATGCAGACTGGTATATTATGGAAATCAGTGTTGAGATTCCTCACAAAACTATGAGTAGAGCCAGGGTACAGCTCAGTGGCTCAGTGCCTGCACAGCAAACATGAGGTCCTGAGTTCAATTTCCAGTAAATCCACACCCTGTCCCAGGCAAAAACAAAAACAGAAACAAAAACAAAAACAAAAACAACCCTAGGACTTAGAGGGTCCATGTGGTCCACGTTAACCAGCTATTTCCTTTTTCTTTTGGCAGAACTGGGGATTGAACTCAGGCTCTTGTGTTTGTCAGGCAAGCACTTACTCTACTGGGCAATTTCCCCAGCCCCCCTCCCTTCCTTGGTACCTTAAAACATGATAGCACAGCAATATATGTACACCTGTGCTTATAGCAGCACAGTCTGTAATAGATAAATGCTGGAAAACGCACAAATGCCCATGAACCAATGAGTGGATAAAGATGTGGTTTCTTTAGTAAATGTCTCCAGCTATAAAGGTAAACTGTAGACATTTCTCAGTAAATGGATGCACCTTAAAACAAGTGAGATAAAAGACACGTGTAAGAAACTCTTGTGTGAGGACTGGGGAGATGGCTCAGTGGAATAAGCCCTGGCAAGCGAAAGGAACTGAGTTCAATCCCCAGTTCTGCAAAAAAACAACAATAAAAATTGGTTTAGTTTGCTGGAGAGATAGCTCAGTAGAATAAGCGCTTGCCTGTAAAGTGCAAGGTTCTGAGTTCAATCCCTGGTACTGAAAAAAAAAAAAAAGAATTTCAGTTTACAGAGAACAAATTGGTCAAGCAATGGCTGTGACTCATTTTCACATGGCTGACACAAAGGATCTGCAAACTGTGGTACAGGGTAACAGGATAAATCAGGGGACTTGACTGACCTTATCAGATACAAAAGATACATTTCTTGTTATATAGGTCTTGCTTTATCTTGGTCTTACCCATCCAGCAGAAAAGTATAAAAACGAAGTATAAAAAAGTAAAGCCATATTAATATGCTAAGCTGTGAAAGGCTCAAATCAACAACTTCTGACATTGCCAGTCCTACAGACAACCCACTACTATTATGGACTACTGGACTATATTGGATTATTTTGCTGAATTCTCGCATCTACAATATTTAAATGGCAATGAAATACTCCTCTCTAACAAAACTAAATAAAAAAGGGGATACAAAGGAAGGACCATTTTGTATCTGTATATACAAAATAGTTAGGATAGACATACAGCTACTTTCTCTTAATTCAATGAGAAGAAAGGTTTGTACTAATAGTATTTGGACAGGATATCATGTCTGCATCTTGTACTATGAATAATCACTAAGAAGATGACAATATGCAATGTATTAATTATTGAAACTGTCCTATTAATCGGTTTTGAAACTATCTCATTGTTATGTTTCTCAATAAAATAAAAAAAAAAGAAACTCGTGTGAGAAACAAAGTGTAATTAAGGATCAAAATGTGTAATAAGTATTATAAAATAGGAAGAAAATATGCAAATGGGAAGGGAAACTAAGGAGGGGGTGGGAAGGAAAAGTATAGAAAGGGAAAAATAGAAAAAAGCTTCTGTAAATAAAGAGGGAAAGGGGCTGAAGGGAGGAGAGGAAGGGGAAAAAAGAATGAAAATATGTCGGGTATAGGTATAAATTCCATATGATGAAGGTATATATATATATATATATAGTATAAATGAAATTAATTTCAGTTTCTCACACTAGCAAGATAATACAATGTTTGCACGTGTGGATGTGATTTACTTCGCTTACCAATATAGTCTCTAGCTGCATCCCCTGACTTACAAAAGCCTCAGATTTATCTCTTTTGATAGCTGAATATCAATACTCCCTTGTGTAAAAATACCGCATCTTTTTTATCCATTCCTCAGCTGACAGGCATTTGGGTTGCTTCCAAGATCTAGCTATGACAAACTGTGCTGCTCTAAACATGGGTAAATTTGTTCAATGGGAAGAAAAAACTGGGATGAGGAAAAGGACAAACAAAAGAAATGAAAAAGATATATTTAGGTACATATGCAGAATAGTTTAGATAACTGTACTGCTGATTTCTGCTGGCCATTGAAAGGACCAGTTAATACTTAATTTTTTTCTTTTTATTTTCTTACAACTTTTTGTTACTGTTTTATTTTGTTTTTTCTTTAAGCCAATCTTGCACGTTTGTTTTGTATCTGGTAACCTCAACAACTAACTTGAAGATAACATCATGCCATACAGCAACCATTGTTGAATTACTATTACTATTTAGTGAAATTTTGTGCTGTTTCTAATGCTGTTTTTCTATCACTATTTTGTATTCTTTAAAAAAAATAAAAATAATGAAATTAATTAAAAAAATTAGCACAGCAGTGTTGCGGCTCAGAGAGCACCTGCAAGCACAGGACAGCCCCCCACACCCAGAGGTGCTTCACCACAGCAATTGGCACAGCTGAGCTGCGAGGCAAGGACAGCCCTTTACCACATCAAGACAGGCCTTTGTGGCTCTACACTTACAATCACCCCATTTCTTGCTTCACGTGTCTCCTCAGCACATATCATTACAAAATCTTTGCTAAAGGAAATAAAACTCAGTTTTCCCTAGCTTAGTATATCTTATATAGTAGAAAGAAAATGCTATCACACCAACTTTCAGTATGTATCCCTCCAAATTTTAAAAGTAGGAAAACATACAAAAAGAAAATAAGATAGAAGGTTAAAAAAAAAGTAATGACGACATTCCTATCTTAAAATCATAACAAAATAATGCACTGTTATATAAAACACTTCTCAAAATTAATGTTAAGTAGAACATAAAAATCAATAAAACCACCTTGTAGAACTGCACCACCAGAAGTATACTAAATTACTAAAAACATGTTAAAGCTGTAAAAAACACATCCATAGAAAATATAACTAATAGCAGAGGCTTAATACTACTATTCTTCAAAATGAGAATGAAAGATGGCGAAAAGTATTTTGGGTATAAATACACGTACTTGGAATCTCAGGTGTATGCTTTCCAATTCTCTATTATTCTCTAGGGTTCTGAGAGAATCTCTGGAACAGTTCCAGTGACCAAAAAAATCAAATATGTCAGAATATTAAAAAAAAATTCCTACAATATATACCACAATGAAGTATTAGCTGGAAAGAACCAAGATATATAATTTGATACTCACTCAGTCAAATATGCGCTTAATTCAATAATTCAGCAACTCATTTGCTGACCTGTTCAGTCAGTCTCTCATTCGCTCTTTTTCCATTTCTTCATTTACCCTCAGAACAAAATTACTGAAGCCCTCCTTTATAGCCATGAGGGTACTAAAACTGAATATGCAACCTTTCTCATGAAGGATAAGCCAAACAATAGAGACCTTTTAAGATGGACTTACAGCATAAAGAAAGATAAAGAATTTGCTGAGGGAACAGTACAGAATAGCAGGGAAACACAAAACTAGCTAAAATATGGTTTGAACTTAGGTTATGAAATGGTTCAAGTTTATTTCACAGGCTGCAAAACCCAAAACTTCAATCACTCTCACATAGTACCTTTACAATTTCTGCTACTACTACATACTATTTACTTGACATTTTATGTAAGTGGACATTTTTTACTTCATTAAAACTTAAAATCATATCGTATAAGAAGAAAAGTTTTATCACTTAATATATAAAGCAGTACACATGAATGTAATTTTGTTTTTTGGTTTTTTTTGTACCAGGAATCAAGCTCATGATCTCATGCTTGCTAGGAAGGCACTGTGCTACTGAGCTACAGCCCCCACCCTCCACATGAATGCAATTCAAAATAAATACAACTAATTAAATGAAAACTGTTTCTCTGAGTACCACTGGACTCATCACTAACAGCACACTTCACATTTCAGGCAAAGTTACTCAAGACAACAAGAATCACTTGGGGTTTTTAATCAGGGGAGCTAAATCTCCACAGCTGTGCCTTACAACGATCACTCAAAAGGGTGGGTGATAAACGGATTGTTAGAACTAAGCACTGGTCAGGAGATGCAGCTCAGAGTTTGCTGTAGTAATTCCTACCATAGTGGATCAGGACCTAAACTCAAATAGAGGCAGAAGAGGGACAGAAGGGTCACAGAGGAAAAACAGATGACACAAAACGGGTAGATCCTCCAAGACAAGCAATTCGAGAAATAAAGCCCCTCACATGTGCATCCTATAGACAGCCATAAGCAGAGATGATCGTACATTCAGTCTCCACTGAGGCCAACAGAATTAGATGAGACAAAGCAGGCTCTGAGGATACCTTGCATGACATACTCAATAAAGGTAGCTGCTGTTATGCTACTACTACCACCCTTCAGACTTGTATCAGCTCAGCCTGTACCCCACAGCTGATGTCAGCGGCTGTCCCCTAAAGGGTATCACAAAGGACCTACACCTGCATTCTCTGCTTGCTATCTGAGGAACTAGAGTGATGCCGAATGCTGAGCTAAGGGGGGGCAGTATCTGTGCCCTCCACCCACAAGCTCCCCCAGTAAACACAGGCCATTTCTCTAGTCCAGCCCAGTTTTCCCATTCCTTACCTTGGCTTATTCTGAGGCAAGGCCTTAGCATCAACTGCAAACATTTTGGAAACAAAGATAATAACTGGAGCAGTATCTTCACTTCCACATTTCATAAAAGCTAAACAAACAGGAAGCAAAAATGTCACATTTTCTCCCGTTACTAAAAAATAAAAAATTTCTGGAAAACAATTAAGATATTTAGAATATAAAATCATCTATACATAACTTTTCACAACTATGCCCAAAATCCCACTTAGAATGATTGCTTGGAAAGAACACAGAGCAGCAGAGTAAGAGCAGAAGTTAGCAAAAATGACAAAAGAAAAGCAAGGGGACGGAGGAGGACGGCTGGGTTGGAGGGGCTCCCACACTGGAGCTGAAGCAATGGAGCGGGGCCAAGTGCACACTTACATCCAGTAGAGAAGGGACACAATTAAAGGATGGTACCAAAAGTCAAGAGTCAACAGGCAATTTGCTAAAGTAACACTTAGTAGCCTTTACAATCCCTCACAAATTAAGTTTAAAAACAGACAAAAATATTGTATTATAATACAGTAACACAAATTCTTATAAAGATTTTGGGGTCAAAGTTGTAGCTTAGCAGTGGAGTGCTTGTCTGGCATGCATAAAGCCCTGTGTTCAATTCCTAGAACCTCACAGAAATAAGGAAACTAAGCCTTAGTACTATAAAGATACAAACATCAGGGCTGGCCAAATAGCTCAGTGGCTAAAAGCGCCTGCTGAGGGTTAGGGTTAGGGTTGTGGGTTGAGGTAAAAAAAAAAAAAAAAGCACCTGCTTAGGCAGATGCAGTGGCCAGAGTTTGATCACTGCCATATTCCGCCAGCCCTGCCCCCAGGGTGTGCTGAGAAGGTGACTGAGCCTGGACTCTGGGCATAGTGGCGCATGCCTGTAATCCCAGCTCTTGGGAGGCTGAACACAGGCGGATCACTATGAGTTTCTACATAGTTTCTACATAGTGAGACCCTATAGACCCTGTTCTAAAAAAAAAATACAAACATCAATTCTAAATATATAAAGCTTAACACAATTTCTTATGAACATACGGACATTTTAAAATTATGCCTGGGGCATAAAACTAAATGTGATTTTTTTAAAAAAAATCACCCCTATCAAAATAATCTGTGCGTAAGAACTCAAACATTAAACAACAATAAAAACTGCAGAAAGTTTAACATACCTCTAACTCTCACCAGCAGTACCTACAGAAGGCTCTGTGATGGAGGACTTATGCCCTGACTTCCATGTTCGCAGGACCCCTGGCTGCACACTGAGAAGACACAACCTACAGGGAACCCAGAGCAGCAGCAAAGACACTGACAGATACTGCTGTGATAACCAGGTGCACAATGGTGGCTGCACAGCCCAGGGAGGCAGATGCAGAAATGATGAAAGTGCTTTTATTCTGGGTGTACAGTATTTCAATAGGACTGTAAGTGGGATTTGCTGATAGCCTGGACATGGGGATGTAAGGGCCACATTTGACTCCAAGGTTTGGAGAAGGAACAAAGGAAAAGATGGAGGCCCCAAGATGGGAATCAGAAGAAGGATCAGATGTGGGGATAAAATAAAAAGACAGCTTTGTAGTTTAAGTTGATGTTTCTCAGACAGTCACGCAGAAAATGGAATAATATCAATCTGACCCCTAAGTGTGGAGCTGAGAGAGCAAGTGTGGACCACAGGCACAGATGTGGGAAACTATGAACATCTCTGTGTCATTTGAAGCCTTTTAACTTGATGAGACCATGAGCAGGATGACTGCAGTTAAGAGATGAGGTCCAAAGATGGAACAATGCTGAGGACATCCCAAAGTTAACAAGTCAGACAGAGAAGCACCACAGGAGATCACAACTAAGCACCAGAAAAGCGATCAAGAGGGAGGAGGGAGCAGAAGAATTTGGAAGCTGGGAAGTCCAAGAAGGAGGGAGGCACCAATGGGTCAAATGCTGGCAAACGGTGTGGTCACACAGGATGAGAAGTGGCCCGCGAGTTAGTGAGACTCAAAAAGACGACCCCATGACAAGCAGCAGTGGAGTGGTCTGGGAGCAGGGGCTAAGGAGCCAATGGAGAGGGAAAAAATCACCCTCAGAGCTGGGGACAGGAGCACCTGTAATGTGTGCAAAGAGGCCTCACAAGGGCCCCAGAACCACTTTTTCTCTGTCTCTACAAACACAGCTATGGTCATGATGCCACAACTCAGAGAACACAATCCTGGCTGTTTGAGAGGATGGAACCTAATGATTAAGAAATGGGATCTGGGAAGAATCTCAAGGTCACTGGCCCCCCACTGAACGGGCTGAGCAAAATGGTGGTAGTGAAAGTGAAACTTGGGACTTGAGGAATAAAAGCAACACAATGGTCATTTGTGGAAGTGAACATGTGGCAAATTGGCCATTTTGCAGACTGGCATTCAGCAAACTGTTCTAGAACAGTCTGATGTGAAGAATTAATGAGTGGTCCAGAGAACAGACAGCCATCTGTGCCTCACCTGCTTTCAGGGCTTGAGTTTCAGGGGGAAGAGAGTCGAATGTTTGTGATCCTGTGCACAGCAGCTTCTCTACCCGCTCAGATGCAATGTCCAGGGGACTGGGCAGTTTCTCGCACACCATGGCTGCCTGCTGTTAAGGACCAAACCCAATGGCTTGAGGAATCTCATCTCAAAATATACACACAATTTCAAGGTGCTCCCAGACAGCATTCTTTTTTTTTTTTTTTTTTTTTAATTTTTCAACTGCTCTTTATTCTCTTTTTGAGTTTTTTCCAGACAGCATTCTTACAATACATCTCTTCCCTGGCGTTCCAGGGATCTTGTGAAGGGAACAGAGCCTGGCTTAGATATAGGTGCCCTGGAAAGAAAACCAGTTATTCAACAGAAGCACCTAAATTGCTATCTATATAAACTTCTTAGTGGAAATATTTTTATGTTTACTAAACAAAAATGTCTTTTTAAGAACAAATAGTATTAACATTAATCAGTATTAGTGTATTAACTTTTAAAATATGAAATACAAGTCTTATGGTAGAACAAAACTGAGAAGTCTTACTTTGGATTGGAATGTGTTATTTCCATAGTATTACTTTGTTGCTAAGTAAACACTGCTTCTCTCTGTATTACGAGACACATTTCTTTATAAACAGAGAAAGGATACAAAGAACAGCATGGGAGATGGGCAGCCACTGGCTGCAAATGGCGTTGATCTGAACCTTAGGGTCTGAATGCCGGGCCTCTCGGGCTCCAATCTTTAATCCTAAAGAAGTCACTATTTTCTCAATTTTTTCTTTGTCCCTGTAGTGAAGATTAGAGAGGTGAAAAGGCATACACAGATAACCATGAGGAGGGAAAAGAAAGTTAACATATTTGACCCCCCGCACACACACACACACACACACACACACACACACATACATTCAGAAAAGCTAAGAATGGCTGACAGGAATCTGCCACAGTGATGACTCCCCTGCCTCTGAGCTTCTGATGTACCCTTCAAAACTTCCCCCTGAGCACAATTCCACAATCACCTGAAGCTATGCAAACTTGTAAGGTATTTTATATATATAAAAAAAGATGGTGAACAGTTATTTTTTTACCTTGGGAGTAACTGAGAAAGCAGAAATGCCAGCTTTCTTTTCCACTTATACCAAGAAAAGTTATTTCCCAAGTTCCTCATTGATTTTAGATTTCAAGCACCTTTGCTATCTTAATGACTTTCTTAAAACTGTGTTTATAAAAACAAAGGGCCCAGGTTTTCTTCCCATCTCTACATCATCACCTCGGCACTCTACAAAATCTTACTGTTCTGCCCCTCAAATCTTACTGTTCTGCCCCTCCTCCCCATCCTCTACCTCCCCATCATCTACTTGAGTTTAAATTACTCCCAAGCCTGATACGCACACTAGCTCTGTCCACAGCCTCCATCTGTCTCAGCTTTCTGAAGCATGACTCATCAACCAGAAAGTGAGGCAAATTATACAGTTCAAAGTTACCAAAAGATAAACAATTTTACAACAGGCTTACTTTTTCAAGACAGCATCATATAAACTCCATATATTTTCCAGGATCAACTGTACAAATAAAGGTTTCTTTCCTTTGGCCTATATTAAAAAAAAAAAAAATACAGTCTTAAGCTCCTGAACATTAATTGGGCATTTACATATTTGTTCATAATTGTTACACTCCCCTCATGTCCCATTTCTATTCAGAAACAGCTACTTGATGGTAAAGATGAAGATAGTGGGATGAATATCCTAAGCCGGCACTTGGTCCCATTAGTACCTCTCCACTCCCACCCTGAGGACAAGGGCACTGAGCACAATGTGAGCTTTGGGCAGATGCAGCTCTGTGGCTACTGCACCCATCACTACCACTGAAGAGCTACATGGCACCTGCATGTGTCCACCTGTGGGAATTAAGGCTAGAGGAAATATGAAATGTTCTTAAATTTATGGAAAAATGTTTACAAGGTATTATGGCTTATGTCTGGATGTTCCTCTTAAGCCTCATGCAGTCATGGAGGAGGCTGCATTTCAGAGGCAGCTAAATCTAGGGTCTGCGATTTGATTTATGGTCTAGTGCTTAGATTACGGGTGTGAGTGCTACGCTGCCTGCACAGTGCTACCATATAAGGGACAGAAAGTCTTCTCTCATGCTCCTCCCTTTTTGCTCTTGTTGCTTTTGTTGCCTTGTGGGTGCCACAAACTGTTGCTCCTCTGCCATCCGCCTCCCTGCCTTGGAGTCAGCTGATTATAGACCGAAACCTCTATAAAATGTGAGCTAAATAAGCCTTTCCTTCTTTAATCTTGGGTGTAGGATATTTTGTCTTAGTAACAAGGGAAAAGTAAGACATAAAGAGAAGAAAATTAAAAAAAAAAAACAACCCCCCGCCCAGCCTTCCCATTCCCCTTACCAAATTATGAAAAAAGTTACTTGTCAGAGCATACTTAGGAAAACTCTTGCAAATACCTGAGAGAGACTATAAATCAATATATCCCTTCTGAAGATACTGGCAATGGTAGAGTGTTAGGAAATTCAAAGTTGTTGCCTCTCAATGCTTGCTTTTAAGAAAGCTATCATGAAGACACAAAAATCTATGCACAAAGACATCTATCATAGCTTTACTATTAATATAAAAACAAGAAAAATTGTCCAACTGCTGGAGAATAATTACGCATATGATAGGATTTTTTCTTAAAAAAGAGTAGAAAACAGGGTATCTTCTGTAGTAGAAGCTGCTCTAAAGAGTGCATTTATATTATTTCATATAATCTTCCTAACTACTCTAAGTAATACCTCAATTTTACAGATGGAAATATCAAGACAAAGGTCACTGAGCCAATGAGTAATGAACTGAGACTCACACAAGCAACTGACTCTCGAGCCATGCTCTTTCCTGCTCAGCTGCACACACGCCGTTTGAAATAAACGGTTTATAAAAAGCTTTTGAAAGCAATGGTAGACACTCATTATGTGATACTAAGCAAAAGGGCAGCTACATTACATAATCAGTATCATCTCAACTGCAGGATGCACCTATTTAGCATAAAAGGATGAAGGGAAGGCAAGGCATAGGGGCACACACCTGTAATCCCAGCACTCTGGAAGCTAAGGCAGAAGATGATCACAAGTTTGAGGCTAGCCAGGACTCCAAAGTGAGCTCAAGACCACCCTGAACTATACAAAGTGAGACCTTGTCTCAAAATCTCCACTCCCACCCCCCAAAAAAGAAGGAAAAAAGACACAAGAAAAAAGGGGCATTAAAACCGTATCACTACCAGTGTTGACTTCTGATTTTTTTTTTCCCTCCTATGGCTTCATACTTTCTGAAAAAGGGTATGATTTGCAATCATATTATAATCTTGAATTTTACATAAAAAAATAGATCTTTAAGAAAAGTGTCCTGGGCTGGCCAGATAGCTCAGAGGACTAAAGCACCTGCTTAGGCAGAGTGCAGTGGCCAGGGCTGGATGCTGGCCCTGCCCCTGGGGCTTGCTGAGATGGTGACTGAGACTGGGGGTGGTGGCACGGGCCTGTAATCCCAGCACTTGGGAGGCTGAAATCACTAGGAGTCCAATCTGTGCAGTGAGACCCTGGAAGAAGGCCATCCTGAGGCTACATGCTCACAGCAGTCTGACATTACCTCTACCTACAGAAGGCTGAGATAAAGAAGGAATTTACCTCTCCTCACCGCTACATGCTGATCAAAAAGACAGCAGACCATACAGTAGTACCTACAAAAGACATGGCTAGGGAGGCATACAAATGCAAATGCAAAACACATACCATCAAGCGCCCAAACCCTGAAACTTCTAGTATTATTTTTTTTTTCTCATAGTTTTATTGAGAAACAAATAGCAATGAGAGTTTCAAATCAAATTGGTAGGACATGAAACTTCTAGTATTCTTAAAAAAAAAAAAAAAAGTTATTTATGTACTGTATTACTTTTTCAGTGATACAGTCTCACCATATTGCCTACACTGGCTTCAAACTCCTGTCTTAGCCTCTTAAATAGCCAGATGTACAGGCACATGCTACCATCCCTAGCTTGCTCCATGTATTTAAAAAGATTAAGGACTCCATAGGACATAACTTGTAATACTTCCACATAAAACTGGTAAGACTTTCCCAATTATATGGAGTAAAAAGTTCTCCATGAACTCAAAGTACAAAACCTACAGCTGAAATACATGTACTAAAGATATTACAGTATAGGCTTTCTAAGACCAATACTCAAAATGTATACATTACCTGATCGCCTTTCATAATCTTCTTAACCTTCATATTTATATAATAATCTCCCCACAGAGTTTTCAAAAGAATTTCCTTTTTGATACCAATTTTTTGACTATAGATTTTGGCAAAGTGCTCAATTCTGAAAGAAAACCAAGAGTTCCTGTTATTAATAACAACAATACGCATATAACTTAATTTGGGTACTTCCGTAACAGGTAGTAATCTAAGTTCTTGCCACAGATTACTAGCCATAATTATTCTAATTATCTTACAAATTGTCCTCACTTTACAAAAAAGCATAAGGAAACACAAATATATCACACAGTAAGTTGGAATTCAAATTCAAGTAGTCTGATTTCAAAGCCCATCTTTTTATCCAGTATTCTACATTAATATGAATTAGACCCAGTCCCAGCCCAGGCCCTTTGAGTGTGTGGGAGAGCTTCTGGCTACCCTGCGCCAGCAGGACCTACTGGTCCCAGCCCAGGAGCAGCGTGGGTGAGACCCTCTTCCA